TTTTAGTGATCTTTTAAATATGCCATTTAAGTGAAAATGAGATGTTGAGAGCTGTGGGAATGCTTGAAGCTGGCATGCTTCAAGTTGATGTCGCAAATGCTATGGGAGCTACTCGCGAATAATAATGATAATAATAAAAATAATAATAATAATAATAATAATAATAATAATAATAATAATAATAATAATAATAATAATAATAATCCGACTTTGTTTATACAAAGTATAAAAAGGCGAAGTGTCGCTAAAAAGCGTTTTCCAACTTAGCCCAACAAATATTTATGTAAATTTTCTAATCTCAATGAAAAAAAAAACGTTAAAAAAACCTGTAACGAGTCCCTATTCAAGGCCATGGTCTACTAACTGGGCAATTAAATCAGAGATAAAATGCTTCAACCTTTTTTTGAAATTCTTTATTGAGTAGTGAGTGAACTCGGTAGGCAACGCGATGTATAGCTTGATAGCAGTATATAGGTACGACCTTTTAAATCGAGATGTTGAATGTCTCGGGATAACCAAGATATGCTTATTCTTTGTGCTCAGTTGATTAACATGTGAGTATCTGATAAATTAGGCTGATAGATATGGAGGGGCTTGTGTTGTGATTACCTTATGGGTCATGGTCAATACGTGCATTTTTTGTAGCTCTTCTATTTGTTGAACACCCAGCCCACGATATTTATGTGACACTGTATCAAATTTTCTTACTCCACAAGCAAATCTGAAACACGCATTTTGAATAGTCTGAAGTCTCCTTATCTCAATCGATCTTAGTGCAGGCCGATAAATACAGTCACAGTAGTGAATTCTAGACCATATTAAGGTTTCGCACAACTTCAGCTTGAGACCAGTATTCATACTTTTCCTATGAGGAAATAATTGCTTCAACACACCGAATGATGTTCGGCACAGTTGACTAACGTGTTTGTCAAACCTCAAATCAGAATCAATCCAGAGTCCTAAGTTCTTGCACTCGTTGTTTATCTAAAATGCTCAATGATAGTAATGGTTTTGCCTGACTTTTTTTTATTTTTGGTCCAAATATAACTGCTGATGATTTTAATGGGTTAATTTTGAGATTATTGGCACAAGATACGTCAGATAAATTTATCAAATCATTATTAATCAAATGTTCGGCATTTTTTAAATCTTTAATATCAAAGCCAAAGTACAATTGAGTGTCGTCAGCATAGTGATGAATACTGCAGTGTTCAGCGTACTCGTGGAAGTCAGAAATGTATATTGAGAACAATAATGGTCCCAGAATGGAACCCTGTGGTACCCCTAGTTTTACTGGTATCTCCTCCGAGATACTTGACCCAATCACAACCATCTGACTCCTGTCAGTGAAATAACTTAATACAAAATTAATTGCAGATTCCGAAAAACCAAAGTATATAAGCTGTTTCACGATAATAGATGGTTTCAGAGTATCAAAAGCATTTGCCTAATCAAGTCACACTAAGCATGCTAAATTTCCTTGATCTACACATCTGAAACCCGATTGGAGGAATGATATCATCAGAGAAGATGTAGTCAAATACCCGATGTTTCATGGCTAGTTCTAATAACTTGGAAAATGCTGGTAGTATATTTATCGGCCTCAGATGTGAAATATCTGTAGGGTTACTTATTTAGACTATAACTGCTCTCCAATGAATTCACCATCTGCGCAATGCTCAGCATGTGAGTGTTTCAAGACATACCACCTATAAAAGGTTGAGAGGAGGTAATCTAGTCAGCAGAAGGCCTTGTAGATGCCAACCTCTAACCCGGGGGAATCGCGCTACCCGGCTAGCGTGAGCTCAAGAAGACGTCATTTGGGACCAAAATCAATGGGGTAATGACTTATTTTCCGATGAATCGCGGTTTCGTTAGTATCCAGATTCTCGAGGGGTACGTGTTTGGAGAGCACCTGGCACAAGATCTTGAATCCAACATACCTAGGAGGTTCACAGTAACAGAAGATGCACAATAACGGTGTAGGTAGGAATTTGTCTTCATGGTAGAACGGAGCTCGTTTTGCTGGTCCGTTTTTTATCGGCCAACGATTATGTTAGGAATGTTCCAGAACCTGTTGTTATTCCATACAGTGATACCGTCGGTCCAGATTTTATATTGATGCATGATAATGCTACTCCACACACAGTGGTGCAATTCCACAAGAAAATTTGGGCGACATGATAATGAATATGGAAAGGCGTTGTAGAGCGACAATAAATACACGAGGAGGCTACATTCTATATTAAACTCTTCTTTGTTTTTTTTTCTAATTCAATATACTTTGAAAATTTTCATACATTTTGAATAATTAGAATTTCTTTCATTGAAATCACTTAAGTTGCCGGTGTATTAGGTTATTTTAGTTATTACTTATCTTAATAAACGTATTCCACTGTTATAATGAAATTTAAAATAAAAATAATAAATAATATATAGCAATACTTATTATATCCTTAGATTTTGAGCATGTCTGTATTTCATATACCAGATTTATCACAAAATTATTTTTCCTGACTTGTGAGATAGGAATTTATAAAGAACTGGCATGTTGTCATTGCCACTCGAGGTTTCCTCTTTCGATTTCCATCTACAACTTTGCTTTTTTGGAGATTATATCGGAATTTTGTACATTTAAATGGACATTTCAGTTTTGAATTCAGTGATGCATTTCTTTTGTTGGCCATGAATTTGTTGTAGGATGAAAATTATAAGGAAATAAGGTATGATGAAACCTAATCACAACATGAACATTTTACTGATGGTAATAACAATAATAATCATAAATAACCAGAGAAAAATCATAGCAGATGGTAAAAATGTTCTCTGTTATTTTGTAGGCACAGTCTGACCCTTTAGTGCACATTATTCAGTCTTCAATTTGTTTCCCTTCTTCTCAGTCTTACAAACTCAAGCCAATTTGAGGTCTGGTCTGGTATATGAAACAAATGACTGTTATAATTTCAAGGACTACCTAGGAGATTCTGTTTTTTGAAATGACTGAGGTTTAGCAACGTCAATGTATGATGTATTATACATTTTTGACACCCGAATCACTGACTTTGTCCATGCAAAAATCCAATATGGCCTCCATAAGAAAAAACGAAGTTGATGCTGGAGGACAAGAGACGAAACGTCATATTGAAATTCTAATTGTACCATCTTGTAGATGTATGTGCAGTTTATTTTAACATCCCACTATCAATGTAGTCAGGGAAATATTAAACTGATTAAAAATTCGTTTTCTGCTGTCTCTCTCCGTAAGTACGAGTACCTTGAACTTTGAAACTTTCTAAGCGGCACTTTGTCACTTAAGCGACTTCGTATATCTTGCCGTTTCCGAGATCCCAATGGTGAGGGATGCATTTGAAACACGCGGTATGTCGCAGGTACTAGCAGATGGTATACAAGCCCTAGAGGATGTTACGATGTAAGTGGAGATTTTAACAAAAATGATGAAAACAAATATTTTGTCCGTTCATCAAATAAACCTCATTCTACTTTAATTCTAGACTAAAAATGCAATTTAGTAGTTACTGCTCCTTGTCCTTTTTGTCAGTTTGTCTTCTGTAATTTCCATTAACCTGAAATAAAGTACGGCGAAATTACTGGAGATTTGAAGTAGATGGGTCTGCATTGATTTAATTATATTTTCATTATAGAGGTATGAACGACTTCTGCTTTCTCTAGTCATACTCAAAGATAAGCAAAGCACTTTGGAAGATTCCGCACTTTCAAGATACTTTATATCACTATATTGTATCCAACTCCTAAATATTATATTTTGGTTAATAGGAATCCAAAGTTATTTCTTATACCGTTAGACAGCTATAGGAATCGTTAAGTGCTGTGTTAATTTGAGATCATTAAAAACGTGAAAAACAATTAGGCCGACTTGATGTTGTCACAAGATAATGCGGTCGAGTTACTTGATACCTCCCTCTTAATGATTAAATAATCTATTAATTTTCTGCTGTCAAATTATATACATGTAAAATTCTGAATCCTTACATGTCCTAGACTGGCTAATCTTTTAAAAACAACAAATAAGTTAGTTTTAGAAAATTGATAACGGTAATAGTAATTATAAAATCGCCTCTATTAATGACACTTGTGAATACAGAATAATTAATGAATAATTCAGGACGAAAGTTCTAATGAATAACGTAACAAAGAGAATCGAATCCTAAGTTGTTGGAGGTTTGAGAGACATAGCTAAACAAGGTTTGGAATATAACGTGTCCGCCACTGTAGGAAAGATGTTATTGCTCTCACTGTTGGTTGGTATTTTGAGAAACAAAAAACAGAAATCGTTAAATGTGCTTCTTTTTGCCATTTGTCTCTAACCTAATTCGTTGAGAATTGGTGGAAATGAGTGGCATTTCTTGTGACAGTATAACCTTGCAGATCACCCTAAAAAAAATATATCCAACTTATCTCTTGAATCAACACTTGCATATACGTTTTGTTTCAAGGAGATTTAGGTTATACAGTTGTGTGACAGTGAACCATACGATCCAAAATGCCAACTTTTTATTTTTCCTTGATGCTGCCCTGTTGCAGATGAAATAAAATAATTGTGGCATACTAAAAACAAAACGCATTGCCACTCTCCCCTTGATAGACGTTAATCTCGGTTGCAACACGTCGTGGACGGAAAATAGACTTCGGAAGCCTCACCAACGTGAAATACGAATCCAGTCTTTCCTTTTCAAATTGTAGGAATATGGCCGTCTGATGGGCTGCCAGAGGCATTTTGTGATCGTAGCACAAGTTTGCTTTGGACATGAGAAAGCTTTTATAGCCACCATCGGACAGAAAAACTAGGAAGGGCTTTCTATCAGTTTTAACTGCATTGTTAGTGGTGATGAATCATGGATTTACTGTTATGAACCAGAAAATAAACGACAGTCGGCTGTTTGGGTGTTCCAAGGTCAAGAAAAGCCAGCAAAAGTCATCCGTTCTCGAAGTGTTTCGAAAAAGATGGTCGCGACATTTGTGTCAAAAGCGGGTCATATTGCAACAATTCCTCTTAGTGAGCAAAGAATTGTTACTGCGGATTGGTATACCACCATTTGTTTGCGAAAAGTAATCACCGAGCTTCGAAAAATCAACCCCGAAAGAACAATCATCCTCCACCAAGGCAATGCAAGCTCGCACACATCCCAAAAAAAGAAGGCAGTATTTAACGGAAGAAAACGTGGAATTATTGGACCATCCTCTATATAGTCCCGATCTAAGTCCTAACGATTTCTTTACTTTCCCGAAAATTAAATACATACCTTGCTCAGCATCATTGACTTCACCATTTGCCCTCGTCTACGTGCTTGACAAAATAGTCAGCAGTGAGCCTCTCACCAGCGCAGTGCGAACAACGCCATTGAGTGCAATGGAAGCTGTGTTGGATCTCCCACCGTTGGATCTGGTGATCCGCGGTGAAGCGAGAGTAGTCGCTCATCGACTGTGGAGTCAGGGCAGCTGGGCTTTCTTGAATCCGGTCAAGGGGCATACTGCCATCTTAGTCGAATTAGAAAGGGAGGACCCCGTCCTTCTAAGCAGGGGTGATCGTATTACCCCTAAATATCGCTTCAACCGCAAGTTTATTGTGGAGTACCCAACGAGGGAGGAGTGGGACGCCGGTAGCCGAGGACTCTCCGAAGTGAGCGGGCAGGTCTGGTACACGGACGGCTCGGTCACCGAAGAGGGCTCAGGTGCTGGGGTCTCTGGACCTAGAACTAGGCTATCTCTGCCTCTCGGTGAGTACACCACCATTTTCCAGGCGGAAATCTTTGCGATTCTGGCTTGTGTATCTCACATTCTGGAGGAGGGTGGGCCTAGGAGAAGAATAACAATCTTATCCGACAGCCAGGCTGCAATGAAAGCACTAAGTGCATGTAAGATTACTTCGAGTCTTGTATTGCAATGCAGGGAGGCTCTGGATTGCCTCGCAGCGAGGCATCCGGTATCGTTAATATGGGTACCGGGGCACGCTGGGATAAGGGGCAATGAGACGGCGGACACTCTGGCGAAAACAGGATCAGCCAGCAAGCTCGTTTATCCTGAGCCAGCTCTAGGAGTAACCGCGCATAAAGCTAGGAGGAAAATGGAGACGTGGGTTGCAAGACAACACTCTCAGAAATGGAGAAGTATCTCTAGACATCTCCGCCAGGCACGAGAGCCCATTGAAGGGCCCAGTGCTAAGGATGGACGCTTCTGCCTATCTCTGGGTAGAGCCAACCTAAGGTTGCTGGTGGGACTGTTGTCTGGCCATAACACGTTAAGGCGGCACCTGCACATGATGGGGGTGGCTGAGGATCCCTTGTGCGAACGCTGCAGAGTAGAGGAAGAGACCTCGGCGCACGTTTTGTGTCGCTGTGAAGCTCTGAGCTACTATAGGTAGACTATACTGGGGTCCATTACTTTGGACCCTCAGGACGTAAAGGAGCTTGGACTCAAGGCGATTCTCAACTTCGCTAAAAGGGCGAGGCTTGTGATTTAAGTATTGTAGAGGTGCATAAGGGCCCGCTTAAGCGGCCTATGCACTGGCTCCTTATGGTGGCCGGGATGCCTCTAAAATTCAAGATTCATTCATTTGAGCCTCTCACCGAGCGTTAGTTCTAGTTGTGTCTGGCAGTCAACCCACCTACTGCATGCGCGAAGATGCCCAGTTAAGACAACTATTGTAAAAAATTATTACCGTAAAATAGATTCATCCTTTTTAACATTACTCGACTTGTAAAAAATCGAATTCTCTTTATTAGTCTTTCTTTATAGAAATAATAAAGTTATGAGATCAACATTAGCAATTTATCAGAATAGAAATCAAACGATTAGTATAAAAACAACTAAAACGACAATATTTTGGTTTCAAAACTAAAATACATAGAACGAATTTTTCAGTAAAATATTTTGTTACGATTAAAGTAAAATAAAAAAACGTTGAGTACACAACATGAAGCGTTATAAAACCTGAAATACAAAGCACAACTTTTTTGAAAAAAGTAATAATTATGTTCAGTTCAGACTCAATGCCTTTTACATTTGAATATGGCGGAAATGGTATAAGCTTTATGGTCCCAAAACTAAAGTACTAAGTTAGTTTAAACCATAAAAACCGAAAAAGACGTATTGCCCTAGGTCTTTTTCCTAAAATAGGGCTTCGTGCTTCCTTGATCGTATCTGTCGGACAAAATAGCGTTGTTTACAAAAATTGATAAAAATGGGCAATTTATATAATCAATTCTCAATAAATCTATTACTATTATTAAGAAAATTGATTATTGGAAATCAATTATAAGGAAAAAATAATCGATTAGTCGATTTTATTTATTATGCAGCGATACTTGCAGCTCACGTATTATCTCTTTCCTACCTGATTAAGTAGCTACTAAAGCGGGCAGATCCCATGAGGAACTGTATAGTATACCTGCACATGCACAGGTCCCGTGAGGAACTGTATAGTATACCTGCACTGCTCCCCTGTCAAGACCGTCATGTCTGGAATAAGTCTCATAGTTCACGTTTCATGGCCAATAGCGTCTTGCTGTCAACATTTCTAGCTCCTGCAGCATTCTTATAGAGCATGCCCAACTAACAATTATCACTCCTATTAGAGTTGCAAAAATGATTATACAGTATTCCTTACACAGCATTGTATACTGTAAGAACATTGGTAAAACCCTCTTAGAACAGCTATACAAGCGGAATGGGTACACCTAATAGGACACTTCAGTCATTTAAGAGGTTGTATAAGGGCTGCAGGTAACATTTATACAACAAAAGTGTAAGCCCCTTGCAGCCGCTATAGGACATTTGCGTCAGTGCAAGATTCCGTTTTTGTCAACTATACAACTATTCTGTTACGTAATTCTACTTTATTGCAACCAAACTATTTCTTATGTATTGCATAGACGAAGTGAAGAATATATAACTAACACATTACAGTCATCTTGTTTACTTACATATCGGCCATTGTGAATTTCATACACAGGTATATGATAAACTTCTACACTGTGATATAGGGCTATTGAATTACTTGCGCAGCAAATTTTATTGTGATTATCGTGCAAAGTAGTTACGCAATTTGTACGGGCTTCATATTTGATTCATATTTTGATAATGATCAAAAGTATGTCTAGATTTTTAAGAAGGAAAACAGAACTTATCTGCGTCAAATCTTCAAGAAATCACATATCTAGACACAATTACACTAATGTTTATCACTTATCTGTAATTTCGAACTGAAACATAATTATTTAATATTAAATAGAGGAATAAATGTTTGCCCAGTATGGCTGGTGGTTGTGTATAATCATGGCATCGACCATGTTGTCTAGTTTATTAGAATATTTTGTTGTTGCCTGCAGGTGTTATACAACAATTTGACAAATGTCTGAAACGAAATACCGACTGAGTCCAATGATTTACCCAGAATTTGTACCAGATCTATATCTTCTGTTTGAACAGTTGATAAAACCTTTTGAACCAATATGCATGCGTTGTTTGTCTTAAATCATTGGTTATGGCATTTTAACAAAAATATGACAGCAGAAAGTTAGGTTATGGTGAAGTTGTATACCAACATATTTAGCATATGTACAGCCTTTAACAGTTACTAAACAACAGTTGTATAAGTGCTTCCGTTGTGAGCAACTTGTTGGCTAAAGTAGTAATATGTAATATGTAAACAACAAGGCTCGGGTTTGTTTTATAAACGTTACCATGGATGCCACAACACAACCACTTTGACTAACGTGCAAATATGCCGTATAAAATAGTTGTACAAACGTTTATGCAACAGTTAAAAATTTGTCCTATAAGGTGTTGTATAACTATGCTAAACAATATTTTAAACACCTCATTTCAAAGCAAATATGTTGCAGAAAGCAAATTTGCATTCCACAGAACATTAAGCCAGCATTTTGGTGTTTAGGCAACAACAATAGAGAGCTTTTATGGCTGAATCGTCCTTTTACCAAAAGCTTATAGCACTAATTTGCTAGTTGGGTGTCTCATTAGCGCAGATCACGCGTAGTACTGCTTCCCGCTGGCACTATTCCCGTCCATACGTTAGCTTCTATGTACATACCCAGCAGTCGGAGAACCTATTATTGGTTACTCTGTCTGCGTTTGTCATCATACAACCTGCTCAGCATCACTAGTGGTTGCATTTCAACCCTTTTGACCTCGTCTACATGCTTGGTAAAATTGTCAGCAGTGAGCCTCGCGCCGAGCGTTAGTTTCAGTTGTCGCCACACCAGCTAGGATTCTCGGCATACCATCATTTGACATCAGCCGAGTCACTATCACGATTTTTATCATTCTATCCGCCATCCTTATGTAACGCGGTGTAAATCATGCCTAAAAAAGTTAGGAGTGCGTCTCTGGCCGTTGAAGCCTATTTTCTCCGTTCGCCAGCGCCATGCAGCAGTAATTTTCTCTCAGTACACGCTGCCGACTGCGTCGGTAATGTTTTTCTATTTAAGTGGCTCGAAATGAAATAAGTGGTCGACCAGAACGAAAATGACTCGCCTAACAGCTCCGACCTTACGAGAGAATTGCTCGCACAATGACAGAATGAAAGATCGCGCTGTTGAAAGGAACGACGCTTTTGTGCTTTGTTTTTATTAGACGGGAGAGTTATTGATAGACGTGTAGAATTTTTAATACTTTCCCATGTATTTCGATGTTTATCCACGGTCTCTTGACAATGCTGCATTGTGTTATGAATCGAGGTGAAACTGACATGTACCTTAAATATGTTTATACTTCCCACGTGACATATTTATGTATTTTGGGGGCGCTAAAGGCAAAAACCGGGCATCAGAAAAAATTCCAAGTTTTTAAGGATTTTACAAGTCTTTCTTAAGCACAGCGAGGTTTTTCGGAACACAGATTAGTTATTAGACAAAATAAAGAACAGTGATTCATTTAGAAAAAATGGTTCCCCCTGGATTGGTTTAAAATCACATTTTGTGATGGGCACCAACTATAAATCGATAAACGCGGTAAAGGCGATGCTTCCGTTAGAAAAAAGGTAGACTAGATTTTTTAAATTTTGTTTGTGAAGAGTAGTAGAATGAAGCCTA